GTAGAGGCATGGAACGTTGTACAGATTGATAAGTATTATCCAGAAAATTATTACTTCTACAGTGTCGTTTCGTCTGCTAGTAGCGAGGATCTACGTGCCGTCAATGTCATTGGACGAGCGGACCACAGCTCGGCCGAATGTGGCAAGCAAAGAACGTCAGTGTGGAGACGTCTGCCGGAAGAGGGAAAGAAGGAAAAAAAGGTTAACTTTTTATTTAGAAACAGCGCTATCCCCAAACAAGAAAAGCCATCCACCACAAAAAAAGTTGGGAATTGGGATTCGAGCATCAGGAAGGAAGCAAACATCTTTCGATGCTGTTGTTGCCCTCGGACAATGAAATGAGCTTTCAAAGCAAGCAAAGAGCAGATACCTACCGAATCAAGAACCCATGGGGCCACGCGGTCGCAGTTCTGTGATGTTACCCATACGGCGCGGTGGAAGCGGACAAGGGGGCCGAGGGAAGCGCAAAAGGGAAAACCGAGGCGTTTGATGAATGAATGACTTTGGTGATTGTTGCTGTTTTGCTACCACCAAAAATGAGGCGGTGAATGGGTGCACCCGGCGAGAAAAGTCCCCTGTTTTCTTGGCGCCGGGAACAACCTAAAGGCAGCCCAAAGTTCGGATCCTGGCCTGTTCATCCAGAGAACCAGAGAATGGAGTCTTTGCTGCCTAGCCCCCCCATTCATTACCGAGCCAATGTTCGGGACAACAACTGCTTAGATCATTTAGTACTGCAGTGCAGTAGCATGAACAACAAAGAAAGTGACCGGTAAGCGTCGAGGTGTACAGCCACTTTGACGATTGAGAAAGTTGGAGAATGGAGAAAGGGTCATCAGCAAGAGGAAGGGAAGGGGTGTGTGATGAGGGGAAAACATTCAAATGGACAGGGACCAAAGAAGCGGCAGGGACGGGCAGCCAAAAATGGACACGAGAAAACGGTTGTTTCATCCAACCAGAGGGCAGCAATTCAACAAGATAACCCCCGATCGAACCAGGGTCCTGCACGACACCGAGTGCCCATCTCCACCCTCACCGTCGTTGCGCTCACCTTTCCAAGCGATGTGCTGCGTCATCCTGGGTAATGTCTAGGTTCTTGGGTCCACGTGTTTAGACGAGGGTCATCGACGTTGGTATTACTGCGGTATCGCTGCTAACGCTGGCTTCTGATCTGCTCATGATGGCTGCAAGCTTTCGGAGCGAGGCGTTTGCCTTTTTTTTTTTTTTCTTCTTTGGCTAACCCGACGCAAGACGTGCCTTTGAACCGGAGTTCCACCGACTGGCGGACGCTCCGGGAAAACCGAAGTGGAAACTGGAGCTATCAAAGTTCCTTTGGCTTCTTGCTGTTCCCAGGTTCATGGAAGCTCGAAAGCTCGACACCGTTACTAGCGAGAGAGTTTTGCTTTCCACAGCATCGGGCAATGACATAATGCAAACTGATGGTTCATGAGGGGAACACCGCCGAGGCGAGGCACGGAAACCGGGGGTTCGGAAGCACACCTGCCTCTTCACATCCCAGTCGTCCGCTCACCGTCGTCGTCCGGCAACGCGGCCTTTCGTGGGGTTCAGGGGAAACCGGCAGTTCTCTCCGCCGTCATCTTTGTTCTCCTCACCTTCTTCTTTCTCCATCACAAAAATCAGATCAGCGCATCAACCGATAGTTGACGTTGCAGCCAGTGTGGGCTGGGCACGAGTCCCAAAGGCCCAGTTACGAAGCACCTGAAACTCAACTGGCAATGGGGGTCACCCAACATCGGAACAGCACGCTACTGTATCAGGTATCATCAGACAGAGCGAGGAGTGCGCCGAGGGATGCTAGTGACAGTGACGGCGTGCACCCCAAGCCTCCCCAAGTGCCCCCGCCAGAACCAATGTCAACCGCGATCCGGTCCAGCGTCAAATGGGGAATGGTTGCTGCCCTGGTGGGCATGCCAAAAGGAAGAGCCTCTTAGCCTATGATATGATCCTCGCCGGATGCTTGGCGCCAGGATAGGTTGGGTTGAACGTTGGGTGGTGGACAGGTGCTCGTCTGCAAAAGTCCTCGTACGGGTATTGTGGTCATGGTGGTGTTTTCCCTATTCCCTAAAGACTTTACATGCTTCTTTTCTACTGAAAGAACGGGTGAAATATTGAAAAAGCCAACGTCCTGCAGTACGCATGCCACCACACCAGACGACTTCTCTTCTGATGAAAGCAAAAAGGGCCCTGCGCTACATAATATGCGCGCTGCACGAGACTGGCTGTAACTGCAAGTCCCAACCTCTTGCTGCTAGGAACTATGCAGGAGGAATCCCACAGACCAAAATCGAGTAAGTGGGTGCGGGGGGGGGGCGGACGAGGACAGAGGAAGACAGTCAGTCATCCATGGTGATGGCTGACAATGGCTGCTGCAACAACGCCCTTCCCGCCCCCTCCTTGCAATCTGATAATCTCATAGAAAACAGAAGCAAAGAAAAGATTGATTGTGTTTAGAGCAATCAAACCCCGCCACAGGACTGAGGCCACGAGAACGGTAAGATGCCGCTGCTGTCTCTGATCAAAATATCGGAGATGGGGTGTGAAAAGTACGTAATGCTGCAGGTCGACTGGCTGGGGGAGGAGGCGTCAAAGTTGCTCTTTGGAGCGAATACCGCGGCTATACCTAGGCTAGGCGTCGGCCAGGGACATTCACAGACATCCACGTGGGCCACACCTGACGAAAAGCTTCACCATTTGCTGCGCAGACCACACCCAAACAAGCAGTCAAGAAAACATAGGAGTGACCTGAAAAAGGAGCATCACCAATGGTGGAAAGAAAGGGTACAAAAGTAATATTGAAGGGAGAAGGAGGCAAGCCGACCTGCCGCTGCTCCGCCTCAGTTCGTGTTCTGTTGCAAAGGGGCGCTAACCCCATGGCGGCTAGTCAGAGCGCTCTTTGGAGTGTCGACCGACGACAGCAGCAGTCAGCACGGCCATTTCCCCGGCCTATCTCCCATTCGCAGGCTCGCCATCTCTTTCACTGGGACTTGTGCTGGGACGATTTTGTGGTTTTGTGAACAAGCACCAAGCGGAGTTCGACCCAAAAGGAGCATCCCATCTGTCACAGCAGCTTTGCCCTGGCAGGTGACCAAACTCAATCTCTCCATCATCTCATCGCCTCCTTTCAAACAGACTCTCCGGCCTGTCCCGGCGGAACCGTCTTGTAAGCTGTCTGTTTAGTGCCCGCCGCTAATATAATCCCACAAAAAATGCTTCCCTCATTGTCACTCACTGCTCTGACATTGGGGCCGGCTGCCGTCTGGCCTGTCGTCATGCTGGGCCATCCTCCCGCACAACTGGACCTCTGAGTTAACGTAGCATGGATTGGGCGGGGGGAGCCATGGCCTGAGCATGGCCCCTACCTACTGCACACACTTTTGCCTCTTGGGGATTTTATAGTACAGAGGGGAGAGAAACAATACACAAGAGCATACCCGGTTAACGGCGCTCGCATGAGCCCGGCATTGCTGCTGGACGCTGGCAGCTTCCACAGCGCTTCGATGGCACAAGGAGATGCTGCACGGGCCCAGGTCGAATGGGTTTCTCAGCACCATTCTAAATTTCTAAGCACCATTCGAGGCATGGCAAATGGGTTAGGATTTACAGAGTAAGTTACTTACTCTTGGCTGGCATGAATTAAGGTGCTCAACAAAAGACAACCGCCACAAGTGTCCGCTGCCCCGGCGTCTAGTCCAGTGGGTGAGGTGTGGTTGATAGCAACGGGCCTTGGCTCCCGTCGGAGGTCCAGTTGACGGGTAACGGGGCGTGCTGTCGTCGGTTTCAACAAGGACGCCGTTCGGGAGAGGGCTCTGGGGGAGCTAAGGTAGAGCCGTGATGGAGATGGGACGGAGGGGGAGACATTAACGAATAAAGCGATTAAATGGATGGACGGTCTAGCTGGAAAGGGAAGCCAGATGGTGGGGTGCCAGCACATGGTGTAGCCCTGATGTCTTGGCCTGGCAGGCTTCCTTTCCCGATGGGGCAATGCGCGCGCTTTGCTGTGGGTGTTCTTGGGTGAGGAGGTGGGCAGGTGCTGGCCCGCAGCCCGCAGACAGGGCGGCCTGTCCTGTCCCCAGCCAGGACGTGCATTGGGGTGCTATTTAACTTTGCAGTCCCCCCGACGGCCCCATCCTCCGCCTCTCTTTGATCTTCCAGATACAATCACCATCGCTGAATCAGCCCTCGTCGCTGCCCATCTCCACCACTCACATTCGCTTTTTGCACTCACCCCAAGGAAGTCCTCGTCGACTCCTGTCATTCGCTTGTTTCTTTTTTGTTTTTATTTTGTTGTGTTGAAGAGAAGAGGAGGATTGAGACAATATCCCGAAACATCATCATCCAGCCAGCATATCTCTCTCAAAAACACACTCTAGAAAGCATACAACCAACCAACCAACCAACCACACGATCGCTACTGACTGCTGTTGAGGAAAGGGAAGGAAGAAAAGGACACCAAGAGAAGAGGAAGAAGAAGGAAAACGGCCCGGAAAGGAAGAGAATCTCCAAAAGATTCGAAAACCAAACCAAACCAAACTCTATCACCGCCACCAGTAGTTACCGTACCATCATCACACGTAGCAGCAAGTAGCAGCAGCAGTAGCCTTTGCCTCCTCGACGCATCTCCACTCAGGAACCAGGCTCTCTCTCGCACGGCATTTTGACTCATTCGGCTACCCATCTTCTCCAAGCTCCGCCTCCAGGTCTGCGCCAAGCGGGGACATAGCCTTGTGCTGTCCTTCAACATCAATATAGTGTCAGCCTTACACTACTTTGTGCGCCTCTCCCCAACCGCATCTCACGACGTTCGCTATCCCATCCAGGACGCACTGCACTGACTGTGTGTTCTGATTAATGTCAGCAACTCCCAACCCTTTCTTGACCTCCTCCGCCTGGCTTCAGGTGTCTCTCGTTTTTCCATCTTGGCTTGGAGGCTAACAGCCAGTTCAGTTCTTTCGTTTTCATAATCTTCCAAAGTATCTCTCATAATGGCCGGTCCCGGTGGTGGTCCTCCTCGTCGGAGCCACACCAAGTCCCGGAAGGGATGTGAATCTTGGTAAGCTGAGTCGAGAGGCTGGCAGTCAGGCATGTTTTCACTAACAACCTTCACAGCAAGCGCCGCCACATCAGATGTGATGAAAGCTTCCCTCAATGGTACGCTTGGCTTATCCCTCAAAATTCAGAGACAAATGACTAACTCTATCTTCAGCCGCAACTGCACCAAGCACAAGGTCCGCTGCCCGTACAACGACATCACTCAGCCTGATGAGAGGTCTTGCTCGCCTGACAAGCCCGACCTCATGTGGACCCCTCAGATTGAGGAGGAGATCAACCAGTGGAAGGTTACCGGGGTGTTCCCATTCCCGCACATCTATCCTGCACCGACACCCTGTGACTTGACTCTGGACCAGCTCAGGCTGATCCACCATGTTGCGTCCATCAGCGAGCAGATGGAGAGCCTCAATGCCAATGGCTTCACGCTTTGGACGCGGCGGATTCCCACGTAAGGCTGGACCCCTGACACATGCCATCCCATGTCGTCCTTGCTGACCAAGTGCCCCTTTTCTCTTTTTTTTCTAGAATCATCCAGATCGGTGCTACCTACGACTATGTCTTGCATGCGCTGCTGGCGTTTTCCGCCACGCACCTTGCGCACCTGACCGACTGCCCATTGGTGGGCAACATGGCCTACGAGCACCGGGGCATTGCGCTGAACCGCCTTCAGGAAGCCATCGGCTGCTTCTCGAGGGAGAACTCCGACGCCATCCTGGCGGCTTCGCTCGTGCTGTCGTGGCAAGCTACGGATTGGTAAGCAATATGCTGCAGCTATCCGGGCTACAACCGACCAGGGCTGACCTCGATACAGGAAGAGCTGGACCGAACTCATGCAAGGAACCTCAACGGTGAGTAAAAAAGGTTGTGCCAAGCCCCCGCGACCGCCCGACTAATTCGGACGAAATAGATTATCGATGCCATGGAATCCTGGAAACACGAGTCCCTTTTTGGCGACTTCATCGCCGAGAGCAGCACGTTCCCTACCGGCCCTCCGTCGCCCACCCCGGACCACCAGCCCAGCCAGCCATGCGCTGCCGACATGGACAGTTACCAGCGGACTCTGAAGCAGCTGCAGAAGCTCGAGCACCATCTGAAGCAGAGCCATGAGAGCCCCAAGCCCATCACGCAGCTCATTGCCTTCATGAAGGGCTCTCGCAAGATCGTCTTAACCCAGCCTTTGCACCAGCAGTTTGAGCGCCTTAGGGCGTTGCGCACCTGGCTGTTCTGGCTTCCTGTCGATATGCTGCAGCAGAGCAGTTGCTCCCCCAACTCGTTGGTCGTGATTGCTCACTACTACACGGCCGCTTTGCTGATGGAGCGTCTTTTCCCCGACATTGGTGCAGCCTACTTTGGAAGCCTTACCGTCAAGCCTATCGAGGAAATCCATCAACGTCTCAGCTGCTCGGAGAGGGGCCAGACCTCTCTCAGTTTCATGGATCACCCCCTCGGCACAGTCTACGAGTTCCGCTCCCGCATGGGTTGGGCCCATCCTGTTGACACGCCCGCATTCCATCAGTACACGGCGCCGCCCTTCTACATGAACGACGGTTCACCGGCCATGGTTCCCGCTGCTTCTCCAGAGTACTTCTATGGAGACAGCGTGTCATTCAGCTACAGCACCGAGGACCTGTCTGTTCCCAACAGCGCTGTCAGCCCTCTGCAGCTGTCATCCCCGTTCCCTCACTCTGGCAACCAGCAGTATCTTAACATCCCTAGCCCCTACGGCGCCTACAGTCCCGTCTCGAGCGTCTATGGCGACTTTGGCGACGCCGGCCACAGCGACTTCGAAGATTCTGGAAACTGGACGGTCCCCTACTCAGCCGCCTCTCCCGTCATGGGTCCTGCCAGCCACCGCTACAGTGTCGGGTTCGTTTCTTCTCCAATCCAGTCCACGTGGGCCTAGGAGCCTCTGGAAATCCACAAGTCAAAGGTGATTGACAAGATGACGACCAGGCCTTCCTACTCGAGCACAACATTAGACCACACGCCACAGGAGGACCAGCAGCCATGGATGTCAGCTCCGTCTTCGTCTTTTGCTCACTCGCCCTATCTGAGTCCCGGACCCGCTCAATACCCTCCGCTTCCAGAATCACCCCTCACGCCGCTGCTTGCCACGCCAGTGATGTCAGCACATTCCAGGTTTCCAAGTCTCGACAACACCGTGATTCCCGCCCTCACGGCTCCTCAGGATGACATCAAGGGAAAGGGAAAGATGATGTAGCCCATGATCTGCCCCCAACCTCCCATCCTTATCCCCACTTTCGCTTTTCCGTTTCTCGTTTTCTTTTTTCCGGAGCGCACTCTCGCTTGTTTTTCCACGCTTCAACACAGACGCAAATGTACACGACACTCCTTTGGCGATCACAACCTTGATCTTCACAACGCAGCTTATCCCACGGCATTTTTCTCAATGCACACGACGCTCCTTTACGACTGCAACGAAACTTACCTAATACTTGCATTTTTCATGCACGACGCTCCTTACGATACACATATTTACCGACGCTCCTTTGTCCCGGCTGGTCCAGCAACATCGAACTATAGACATTCCTTTACTTTTACCGGATCGAACGGATTTGATACCCAACTTAGACACTCCTTTTACGAACCCTGCATATAATCGGCATAGGCACACACTCCTTTTTTGGCATTTTGGTTTTGGATCCTGATACCCAACTGCATAGCATCTGTTGTTTTGGCTTTTTTTTGGACTCTGTTTATCGTTTTGGGAAGGGTTTTAATCTCTCTCTCTGTGTGTGTGTATGTGTGGTCTCTGGCTATTAATCTTGTATTTCCTTTTGGGAGGGAACCATAAGGGAACATTTCTGTACACGGCCTTTTTGGTTTTGCGGTGTTCAGGATCTGCATTGGAATGGCGTCTTGTTGGATTTTTTGTTTTGATTTGGCTTCTCTGCTTGGCTTTTTCAGCGGGGAGCAAAAGGGAAGGAAAATACCGGGCGTATACTCTTGAGGGATTGGGTGGTGGACTTGGGAAGGGTGGGGTACAGCGATCACTATTATAGCGTGTGGTCGATGAGCTGTATTGATTAATGTTGTAGTTAGCTTGGGTGTGGAGAGAGGCCATCTTGCCCTGCTATCATGTTGCTGATCATGTTTTGTTGTTCTGCCCTTTCACGGAATGACGACTAGCATGGTTGATATAGCGTAGACATTGACAGCGGAAAGGGGCGGATGCCTGAGGATCTCTAATTATTAATAATATAAAGAAATAAACTTTGGACAAAACATGAGTTCCTTTGCAATTTCGTGATGCTTAAAAAATGAGCAGAAATGAGAGAGACGGATTGTGTGGAGGAGATCAGGGTGAAAAAAATTAGGGATAGAAAAAAATATTACCAAAAGATTTAGCTGCGACTCGTTTCGATCGAGTGACCTCCGGGTTATGAGCCCGGCGCGCTTCCGCTGCGCCACGCAGCTTTTTCACTGGATGACTGTTGTAAACAGGGGTTGGAAGTTGGGTATATGTGGGGCTTGCTCAACGAAAGCATCCGCCCCCTCTTTTTCGATAGTTGGGAGCGTGAGATGGATAAACCCTCAAGATGTAAATATTCCTCATTGAACATCCAATGCGGCATACATTGGAGATTATGTCCTGCCGTGTATATGTAAGTGCTGGGATATTGAGATGCTTGATAGTGCTCTAAGCTGTGCAGTTGAGAACCTCTTCCTCAGAAATCTTGACCTCCAATGCTCGCTATGTAGATGTTCTTGCCCTGGAGGTGTGTTCTGTTGTCAAGAGTTGGGTTGTAGAGAAGCTTGATGAGGTCTTGAACATTGAAATCTCTTCCTTTATCGATCTCCTATTCTTATCATACATCTGGAAATATTTCTTGCCGTAGATGCGTTTTTATTGGTAAGAACTGGGTTATCGAGTCGCTTAATGGCACCTTGAACAGAATCGGCAAGTATTGGGCTATGTATGTATTCCTTTGTTTACTGACTTGCTTGCCCGCCCCTGAGTACGCAAATCTTGCGGTGAATAAGAATAGCCTTGAATTTGGGCTCGGGTTGATATATGAAAGAACCCATAGCGTGAGTCCCTGGGCTCGAAGTCTTACTGCGGTGTTATTAACGCATGTCTGCTTTCATGTCCTTCACCATACGCATCACTGACCTTAGCTGAAAGGCCATCTTAAGATACCTGTAACCTCTCACTGTGAGATCAACTGTATCACTGCAGCGGTCCAGGTAGCCGTGTGATCACAGTTCCACTTGACGGATCATGTTTTCATGCCCTTTGCTCCCACAGGGAAAGAGCGACTGACTGGTTTCCAACCTGGGAAGGAACAAACATGCCCACAAGCCCTAGAGCAATTGCGCAATACTGTTGGCTTGAGCAACAATTTCGCACTGATGCCTGATTCTTCCTGGAGAACCTTTTTTTTTTTTCTCTCGAAAACTGGCTCTCACATCGTCAAAATCACTAACGGTTTGCAAGAGTCGAGCCGAGTCACTCCTGCAACCTCACCACCCACCCTCATTAATTCTCCCTCAAACAAACTTTCACGACTTCCTCCCAAACTTCGAACCAACCTCTTTATTTCTATTTTGGTCGTATCTGATGATCATCTGGATCGGTCATAAAAGCATACTCGACAACCACCCACCGTTCAACATCACAACTCACGCCTCCCCACATTGGCACTCTACGGCTTTCATCCACTTAGTCCAACCTAGCAACCATGCCGATCATCCAAGTTCCACTCCCATCTAATGACGGGACAGGTGTCCTCTCGCTCTCCAGAGGCTCGATTTCGTATGCCGAGCTCGCCAGAGAAGACCGTGATTCCCATGGATTGTGGCAGGACACCCAGACCGTCTACAGTAAGGCTTGTATGGCTATGGATTATCTCAACACATTCATCAAAGAGTTTGAACAAGAAACACTCCTGTCCAAGCCGGATGATTTCCAGGGAGCCAGCACTGACCATCTGATCAAGCCCGCTACCTACTATCACCACTCCGCCACCAACATTTCCAAGTCGATCGTCGCCAGGGCCAATGATGTTATATTTAGTGACTACAAGACTACAATGACTATGGCTCCTACGGTTTCTGCAAGTTTCGGGAGTACGCGGAGCTGCTGGGCACCGCCGCTAGTTCCGCCCACAGGATTACGCGTGCCACCCAAGGGGCTTGTGATGCTTGCTTGAGGCTTCAAATCGACGGAAGCAAAGTATCCTCGAGAAATGCCGAGGATGTTTGTACCAGAGGGATGAAACTCATAGATGATGCAGATTCTATCATTGGTGCTACCAATCGACTCGCTCAAGAATTCACCGAAAACAACAACAACAACAAGATGGTCCTCATCATCGGAGGTGGGGTCAGTGGATTGATGACAGCCTGGATTCTTCTGGATAGGGGTTATCGTGTCTCGGTTGCTGCCAAAGAATGGTACGGGGAGGATGCAAACAAGGATGGTTCTATGTGTTCTCAGACTGCTGGAGCTCTGTGGGAGTACCCCCCAAGTGGTCGTCGCTTGTCAGAGAACCGGGCTCCTGCGGTTGCGTTCCCCGAGCCCGCGCAGGCTCGGTTGTGGGCGATGCACAGCTTTCTGTTCTATGAGCACTTAGCCAAGAAAAGTCAGCTGGAAGAGTTCGGAGCCAGAATGATCGCACTGTATCAATTTTCCCATCACAGTCATAAGGATAACAGGCAGGGGGCTGACAGCCAAACTCAGGAGAATGCGCGCGAACACCACAGAAAGTTGCAAGCTATTGCGCGCCTGGACACCGGGTATGGAGACTTCCGCGGGAAGTTTAAGGCTGGTTATCGAAGCCTTCCACTTGAAGACTGGAATACATTCGAGTTTCGAGAATGGGAGGACGCCCTGAGTGCAACAAACTATCTTGGCTCAGTTAGGCTGAAATGGGGCTACAGACACGAGGCGCCGGCTATAGACACTCATACCGCTATGGAATTCTTGATGAAGACCGTCAGGTTCAAGGAAGCAATCTCCGCGACCCGTGAGATCAAGGGAGATTCTTCATCTACAGGAAGAAAAACTCATGCGTGAGTTCCGAGCTGACATCATCGTCAATGCTAGTGGTCTCGGAGCACGAACACCCGCCGGCGACAAGTAGGTATTTCCTGCTCGGGGATCTGTGTTTCCTCAAGACAGCGGAACCGCCATCATAGAATCCATCTTTCGGCGTGAAAACTGGTGTTTCAGCCTCATACTTGACTCCCCTGAGGTAGAAGTGGAGGAGGAGAAAGCCACAAAGTTTGTCCCGACGCCCGTTCTACCACCTCGATGCAGGCGTCGAAGCCGACACCCGCACAGGTAGCCGAGTCGTTCACAACTATGTCCATGAGGATTCGGCCTGGACTCTCGCCGTTGGCTGCGCCTGGACTTGTGTGAAGATTGTCGAGAAGATGTTGTTGCATACGTGGAAGGCGGGGATGAGGCGAATGATGAGGTTCTGGGAAGCGGGATAAGCAACGGCAGGATTTGAGGTGATGGACTCGAGGGATGCCGGATGCCGGATGCCGGATGATAGAATTTGTTTGATAGGGTACTGTTGACCTTTGTATAATACTTGGTTTTGTTTTCAGGTAAGGGGAATACTAAGGGGATAGGAATGTAGGAAATTGTAGTTCTATATTGTATATTGTTGCACCACTTGATATGCGATTGTCGTGCTTCCCTTGGTATTAAGCAGACCGTTGGACGGCATGTCGGCTGACCATCCTCAGAACAAGGTTGGTAGATGGTTTGTGGAACTTGCAGAGACACCTCCAAAGTCATTATCTGCCAGAGGTCGGTAGGACACCGAGTACCTTTCCAAGGCGTGTTCTGGTACCAACATCACTCGGGGGCCTCTGTGGATAATGTGTCTTAACTCCAGGGCAAGAAGAATGGGTAGGTGGTTATTTACTCAGGTATGTGCAACAAGAAAGGGGTTGGATTCCTAAATGGAAAGTAGCGCAGAGGGAAAAGGGACATTATCTGGAGTAGATGAACTACATGTACTATTTACAAAACACCGAGAAAAGTTTTTATCTACCTAACGCTATATACCTATCTACTGTTGTCGTGCTATGCTAAGTTGTTTCCTATCTAAAGACTCGAGGAAAGAAAAATACCATCTACCATTTTTTGACCCTTCCAATCAGGTCCACCACCCATGACAAATGCTTTTGCCTTGTCAATGTTCCTCCTCTTTTGATTACCTTTCCTTCAATGTTTTATCCACCTCCTCTGCCCATCCTTTCATGAGGCCTATTTCCACACAAGCCCAACTCCCTTTGTAGTGTCCTCCCTCCTCTCCTATTCCACCTTCAAAAGTCCACACCCTCTCGGTAATGACACTCCCAACCCTCTTCGCTACTTTCCCAAATGCTTCCACTCTTTCATCGTTCCCTCACCTGCTCTCCACTTGGTGGAAATAAACAAACCCCGACTCTGCCTCCGCTGAACACAACTCAACTCCCTCACTGTGTAACCAACTCATCATCCTCTCCCCACTCCAGCTCACAAGCAAAAAAAAAAAAAAAAAAAAAAAAAAAAAAAAAAACCAATCACAAAAGTCACACACCATTTACCTAAGAAAAACACGCAACAAATCCATCAAGATATCAACAATCTCAAAGAAACCTACCTACTACCAAAACCATCAATCACTCCACATTACACACCATCAAAAAAAGAGCGCAAGGGTATGGTATACACTTTCTCTTTCTTCTTTCCTTTTGAAAAGTCCGCAAAGCTGGAAAAAAATAAAAAGAAAGAAAGAAAGAAAGAAAGAAAAGAGTAAAAACCGGACTATCTACTTATGTAATGATGTTTCTTCCGCTAAGGGGATGGGGGGCATGATTTTCATTCGTGAAACGTGCCATGTGTTGTTGGGTTGATGATTCGGGAAACAAGAATGGGGGGACCTATGAGCTGCTGCCAGGGACACATTGTGTTTCTATTAAATCCCCACTCATCTCTCTCTCGTCATGAAGAATACACGATCAGAGCAGTAGCAACAGCAGTAGCAATGATGGTGAGAATCTACCCTTCGCGAACCCCGATGACATTCACCGTCCGTTGGTGAATCCAAGCCCACAATGCAGCCAGCGCTCAGACTCTGCCACGGCAATAACCTTGATCCTAGAGACCATATGTCGTCTTGAGTGCTTGCTGGTCTTGTGGCGGGAGCTTGTTGAGGAAGTCGACGAACCCCGGAATCAATTGCTGGTAGATCTTGAGGACCTGTCGTGTTCATTAGCATCTAACATAACAACCAATGCAAGGAAGAAAACTTACACTCAAGAAAGCCTCATGCAACTCCTGCTTGATGGGGTTGCGCAGCTTCAAGTCCTGGTACCTCGCAATCGACGAAAAGAAGGCCAGCAGCACATTCTCAATCGACTGCGGGTTCTGAGCGACGACGTTGCAGAATCCCCTAAAAGCAGTCGCCTTCTCCTCCGATGTGTCGACCTCGTCCATGACGGTGAGGAACTCGTGCGCAAACTTGGGAAGGTGAGGCGCGATGATGGCGGCATGGAAGAGACCCAGTCTGCCCAACGCGATCGCGGCGTTCTCGACCACGCCGCCAGGCACACCAGGATTGGAGATGATCTCGACGAACCTCCGCAGCAGCTCTGGTACGAACGGCGCCATCTCCTCCTTGAACTGCATCGCCACCTCGCCGGCGCTCCAGCAGGCGTTGTTAACAACGCTAAAGCTGCTGTCAATCTCCTCGTCCAAGATGTCGTCCAGGTCGAGCTTCTTGACCAGCATGGTGAAGATCTTGTGGATGAACGGCCTCAGCTGCTCGGGGACATACTTTGAGCAGTCACCAACCAGGGCGTAGGCCGACTGCTGCACCTCGTCGGAAGGATCCTCCATGCAGAAGCTCAAGAGCTCAAAGAAGGCCGGTTGGCTTCTTGTAACAAGCTCTGCCGCCTTGGTGTTGTCCAGGGCCTGGATGATAGCGCTCAAAAGATCAAGACTGGTGACCAAAAAGTCCTTGTCAGGCTGATCAAAGTTGGCATTTGTTTTGGCGTGCATGGACTGCTCGAGGTTTTGGTGAATGATGTTGACACATCTGTTGAAGATCGGCTCGGCATAAGGAGTAAAGGCATCTCCGAGCGCCATGGCGATGTAGGATAGGCACTCTAGCAAGGGGAACATTTCCCGCGACTGATCTGGTACTCTTTGCCATCTGTCGATGATGGTGGGCATGAGCTGGCCAGCAAGCTCGGGGCGAGCCAGAACCGGTCCAATATGCTCGGCCAGCGTCTGGACGCAGTCATAGAGAACCCATCTGTTCTTATCCTTGTATTTGCTGAAGCATAGAACAAACTGCTGGATGATCGGCCCGCAGTACGGTTCCAACTGTTTGCCGGCCTTTTCCTCAAGGGTGGCCATGGCCGAGGCACCCGCTTCTTGCACCTTCTTGTTCTTGTCCAACATCCTGCGAAGGATGCCCTCCATGAGGGGCTCAAAGTAACTTTGTTTCTGGGCCCCGTCTGTGAGGCTCGCAGCCCATGATGAATACCGGCTCAGGGTCCAGCATGTGATGATACGGACCACCGGCTCCGGGTCCTCAAGGAGGCTGATGAGGTAGGGGACAAGCTCCGGCAGATGGGGCACAACAACACCCATGCAGCCATCGGCAACGGCGCCGAGGGCAAGCACGGCAGCTTCGCGGCGTGGCCAGTCCTCGTGCTTCAGGTTTGTTTGCAGATAGGGGAGAATCGAGTGGAAGACTTTGCCGCCGAAATCGCCAGCAAAAACGTCGAGCGCTGCCGCAGAGCACTTGCGGAGGGTCCACTTCTCATCTGGGTTCTCATCGCCGTCGTCGTCCTCATCTTCGTCGTCGATCTCGCCCTCCTCCAGACCCTCCTCGGCCATCTTCTCGTAGCCGTTGTCCTCCTGGCTTTCACCCTCCTCAGCACCAGCAGCGCCGCGCTTCAAGTTCTTCTTGGCAAACTTTGGCTTGATATCCTCTTCTCGATCCTCCTCGTCTTCGTCGTCGGACGCGCCTCCCAAGAGAGCAATATCCTCGGGACTGTACACCATGCATTCCAGAAGCACGGGGATAATCTTGCCGAGGTAGGGATCAAGGGCCTGCCAGAGATTGTCGTGCTCGCCCACAGCCAACCAGAACTCAGCCGCCTCTGTGGCGAGCTCCTCGTCGTCGCTCTTTTGCTGGGTAAGGATGTAGTCGACCAAACCTCCGATATGAGGCAGCAGCTTGTCGGGCCGGGTCTCAACCAGCCGGACAAAGGCGCGGCACACCTCTCGCCTCACATCGGGGTACTTGTCTTCGGAGAGATAAAACAAATGCTGGAGAAGGGTATCGATAACGTTGAGCATGGCCTGGCTTTTCCTTGGGGTGAACTCGTTGATGGCCTTGAGGGCCAGAGCGCGGACTTTTGGCAGGGGGCTCTTGGTAGCCTCGATGAATTTGGGGAGAAGGATGTTGAGCGGCCGCTGGCCATTTTGCTCCCGTTCCAAAACCTTGGTGTTGTCTTCGCAGATCTTGGCCATGGCGGCCATGGCACCTTCTTGGGCCTCGTTCGAGTACTGGTTTCCTTCGTTGCCAATCATCTTGAGCAGAACCTCGAGGAGCTCAGGCCAGCTGTAAAGTCCTCCACAACGGACGATTTCGGTCGCAAGGTTGCCAGCAAAGCTGCGGATCTGAGAGTTGGTGTCCTGGATACCGAGAGGAATGGCCAGTTTGATCAACTGGAGACTGCTTTCGGGGATTCCCTTGAGGTTGCTCTTGATGTTGTTCTTGAGCATGATGGCGGCAGCAGATCGGACCACATGCCATTCGGTGGGCTGCTGCACCGGTGTGCCCGGCGCTGGAGTGGCACTCGAAAAGATGAATGCCAGGTAATTGTTGATATCGGGACTCGCTTTCGCTTGCGTGAGCATCTGCGCCGGCAATCTCCAGTCAGTTGGGCGCGCCAGCAATATTTTTTATTTTTTTTTGGTTTTTTTTCCACAGCGACCATCGCAACTCACAATTTCGGCCTGCTTCTGGGCGGTCTTGTTGAAGCCGCTCAGCGAGTCCCGGAGACATGTCGCGAGTGTCCCGAGGGACTCCTGGTTTGGTTGCCAGCTCATGGCGGGCGGCGACTCTGTCCTGCTGAGTGTTTTTCTGGGGGGCAATGGTGGTGGTGGTGTTTATGATGAGGATGGAGGTAAGATCGCTGGTGTTGCGCCTGGGCTGCGGGGTATGGGTTGCTGTGGTCAGTGGTGACGATGCGCTGGTTGGAAAAAGCGACGACCGTGTGTATCGCGAGGGCGGGGGTTGAATTGGGGGGGTTGAAAGTACGGTGGAGGAATAGTAGTAGAGAGAAGAAGAGAGAGCAGAGGTGTAGAGTAAGTAGTGTGTGTTATTATTGTGGTTATTCTTTTTGATGCCGGGCTAGTGGGGTGTGAAGCTCGTTATTGTTAGCCTCCGCATTGCTCTTCGCAAAGTTTCCATGTGCGGATAAGACACTGAGGAAGTGGCACTAGAGCTATCTAAAGAAAGAATCGAAACGAGGCGTATGCCGCCTCCCGGCCTCTACCAGGCCTGTGGGATCTTCAAGCTCGATCTGATATGGAGTTTTGACTGACATACCTCAGGTTGAGGTGTGGGCTATTATTGTTGGTTAGCAGCACACTGTATGCTGTCCGGGTGTCGGGTGAGTGTTCTCTTCCCAAGTTTCCTCGTTTCAAAATGCGATGCTGCTGCTTCGAGTTGGTGGCTCACCCGTTTGCGCCGCCGGTGCCCTGCTGTTCCTGCCCCTCTGGCCTTTTGCTCCTCCTCTGCCACTTTTTGAGTGCCCGTGCCCCACCAGAGAGGGCAACCCCTCCACGCCAAGCCACCTTCCGTGCTGCAGCGTGCCTGCTTTTCTCGACTTTCTTTATTATCCTGTTCTTCACGAGAGCTCTGCGACCGTTCTTGTTGAAGATGGATATTTATTTTCGACGGATAATGGAATTGTTTACTTATCTTGGAATATAGTACTGTTTGAATCTCGAAATCAGAGGCTTTATCTCACCAACGTTCACATATCAAGCTCTCAAACCTAGACATCTACTCATAGACAGAGACACTGGAAATATTTCAAGCTATGAGAGCTGTTATGATTTCACTTGTTTTGTTTTTCCTCTCAAAAATTATAATGCCCTTGTTTCAAGAGGTGCTCATACCCCAGATTTCACTGCCGCTCCCGGAGCTATCACATCTCTGGTAGCTACCACCCTTCCGTGCCGTCGTAGTATCAGCCAGCGTCAAGACCAGACCAAATGACCTTCCATCTGTGTTCGTGGGACACATGTCCGAATGGTTTATGAGAGAGTTGTATGAAATGACAAGATCAGCTGCCACTGTTCCAAGCCCATTCCCACTAGCCTCTCACTCCCGATAGCCTCTCACCTCTGATAGCCTCTCACCCCTGATAGCCTCTCACCCCTGATAGCCTCTCACCCCTGATAGCCTCTCACTCCTAATATCCTCTCACCCCCAAAGACCATCCCATCAAGAAGAAACACTCAACCCCTCCACCCCCTCCCGAACCCCATTCTGCCCACCCTCCTCCTCCTCCCACCTCTTCAACACCCCCATAATCCCCACCACAACAGCCTTAAACCCCTCCATCTCCTCCTCCACCACCCCTCCCAACCCCGTGCTCGCAAAGCTGATCGAATTCCCCACATACACCGGCCTCTCATTCCCCATCTTCCTCACCAGCAGCCTCGCCATCCTCGTCGTGAACTCTAGCGTCGGTTCCACCGTGCAGAGTGCTGTTGAGAGGGGTTGTGAGGGGTTGTATCGCTGTCTCCAAGTTAGTAAGTGTATGTTGTAGAGTAACGGAAAAGAAAAAAAGAAAAAAAAATACATCAGGCAAAGCATAAACAAACGACCCCAACGGTGTAGCCTGGCCCGCCTCCTCAGACGTAGCCGTCGTCAAAAACACCACCAGGGCTTTGGACTTGAGTGACAGTCTGACATAGATTCTGTTGTCGAGGGAGTGTGGGAGGGGCAGGGAGAAGGAGGCTGTTTTGCTGGTTGCTGCTGACTCCATTGTCACTGTCACCGGTTCTATTCAGGCAAACCCGTTTTCGACTGAGAAATGGAGATATGGGTTTCCTGAGAGGGACAGATTTCGAAGATGTCGGTATCAAAGCTGAATTGTAGATTGTGTTGCTGAAGAAGAAGGTTACCGGTAGACTGAGTGTAGGCAACGAGTGACAAACACCACATGGCCCGTGCGCTCTCACACATTGACATCATCTCCAACATTACACCTTCCATCTCTATCATCAACTGCGTTTGTTTTTAAGACATTCTCATTACTTGTTACATCATTGATATATCCCCGCTAGGCTCGCTGATCACCCTAACGCCTCGCTAGAATCCACTTTTCCCATCTCCTTACACCGTCTTGGAATCAGTGTCTTGAGATATGTCAAAGATCACCTACCACGCAAACGCCAGTCCAATCTCTCTGTGAAAAGCCCTCTCTAGGTTTCTCCAAGAGCCCTCTAAGAACCCTCCCACCCCTTCATCGGCTTCTGCCTCGCCTGCCTCGTATTCCACCCCAACTTGGCACTGATGCTGTTGATCCAATCCCCCGACCGCCTCCCATGCGGTCTATGAGGCTGCACGCACGCAAAGGGGAACCTGCTCGCACTAATCGTCACGTAATCCCCCGGCCTCAGCTCCACCCTCTCCCGCCCATCAAAGCTCGCCCAGGAGCTCGTCCGGGCATCAAACGGCACCCCTATCCTGAGCACAATCGTATCAGGCAGGATAATCGGCCTAAAAGACAGTGTATGAGCACAAATGGGCGTGACCAACATGACGGGATTCTCAGGGTGGCAAAGCGACCCCCCTGCCGCGAGGTTGTACGCTGTCGAACCCGTAGGTGTGGAAACACACACCCCGTCCGCAGAGACAGAGGTGAAGTGCTCGTCGTCGCCAAATATTTCAATGTTGGACATTGCTTTTCTCCCGTTAGCATACACAACATGTCCTGAGCCCCAAAGAGAAGATACATACTAGGATTCGGCCCCCGATCCACCACCAGCTCGTTCAGCACCTCCCACGTCCCATCCGGCCTATGCGTCCTCTCATCATCCTTCTCCTCCCCAATCAGCTCCTCCACCAAATCCCTCTCCCCTTCCTCCTCCCCATCCTCCCCCTCGGTTATCTGCCTCCGCGGAATACTCCTCATCACCGTCCCCTCAAACCTCAACCTCAAACTAACCGTCACCCCCTCCCCAAACGCGCCTCCCAATATCTCCTCATGATCCTCAAAGTCAAACTTTGTCAGGAACCCAGACTCCCAACGCAAAAGACAGCACCGGCGG